AGAAAATTGAAAATTGACCACTAAAAATTTCACTCAGGCAGAATGATTATATAGTATTTCAGAAATGTTTGGCTCACCAGATCATAAGTCTGTGATGCTATGTTCACTTTCTCATCAGCATCTTCGATAGCCTTTTGATACTCCTACCAAAAAAATGACAGAAGTTACATCAAAAACAATATGAAAACCAAATAAATGAGTAAAAGATGGCGAGTGGTTGATATACTATTCACGTAAATTACAATTTATATTAAACAACAAGCAATGTAAAATAAACAATAGCTTCCATTTGGTGGGAACATATGCTTAGATATTTGACTGTGGACATTATCTCTTCTGAGAAGTGAACAGTTTTCCCAGAGCGTAGCTTAAGGAAAACTGTGAACTCTGAGCTATTGTGTTTATTATTCCTCAAATATTTTTTGCAACACGAACAGTTTTGAAAATCGGGAAATGTCACTTGGATATTCAGTTTTAGCCCAGGTGTATCCTGTCATATGATTCTTTAGAACAATTGCACATGGGCAAAACTATTTGATGGATTATTTATAAAATTATGCACATGTATAATACTGGGTACATGTACAGAACAATTCAAAGTTATCCAGCTACCTACAGTTTTGTATATGATTATACATGTATGTCTGTTAACCCAGACCTTCTGATTGGATGACTTAAAACATTTTTGAAACTCATTCAACATGCATTGTTGAAATTATTGTAGTGTTAGTACTTTAGCACTTACATCTCTGATTTGTTTGTATTGTTGTTCCTTCCACTCTGGCTTGGCCTTGCGGCAGTTCATGAAAAACTGTTTCACTCTGATGTCTAGGTCATCTATTCTGTCTGTTGATTCAGAAACAAAAAACAGGGATCATGTTCTGTGAGCAGGAAAAGCATAAAGTTACCTGGCACAGCTTTACCATAAATTACATACATGTAACTTGACTGGGGGGTACTGAGTATTTAAATTAAAAGTTGGCCATGTATGTAGATCTATATGCGTCATTTATTTGAACTTACCATTTATAATGTAGACAGGGTTGAAAATATTTATGAGAAAAGGGTCTTTTTACACCATTTTGGACAATCTCAATTTTTGGCACTGATATCTAAGTATCTAAAAGTATTAATTTTATATCATTGTTAAAAAATAATTAAAATGAGGCATCAACAAAACCCTGGAGACTCAGAACTTATTGCAACCTGACTTATAATTTGCAGGACAGCATTTAATGAAGAGAATACAAGACCTTTACTTGGTCTTTTTGTAAACTTCAAAAACTCAGGCCTTCTCAAAATTAATGTACTTTACTTCGTACGTTCATTAAACATACATAATGTTGGACATACAAAAAATGTACAACATAACATCAAACTTACTTTGAACCTGCAGATCCATCTCTCTCATGTCTGTAAATCTGTCTCGCAGCTCCACTGGGAGTTGCTCTATCACTAATAAAATAAAAGTTCAATTTACAATAGTTCAATGTACAAAAAAATGTTTTAGATAAATTAAAACTGACTGGGTATGTACATACGTGTACATGTATGGTACTGTTTTACATATATTTACACTAAAATACAGATACATGTATACACCCTGTAACCTGGCACTCAAGGTCCATTGCATACAGACTCTACCTTTTTTCACCTCTCATAGGGAGAGGAAACATGCACCTTTTCTGCATGGCAGCTAATTTCACTTCCTGAGGGTATCTACAGTTTGTCTGTTGGGTGTACCTCAATCCACACTTCCACAAGAATTTATGTATGACTTAGTCAATTAAAGGTGACCTTTTTTAAAAGGATTTTAGAAAAACAGCCTTAAGAAAATGTGCAAGCTGATTGGTTAAAAATCATGTTTCTATAACTCGATGGAAACACAGAACTTAAGCACAAGCTGTTGACGTATGATGGTGCATGTAAAGAGAATTTACATTTTGATGATCAAAGTAAACATCAAGTTGTTTTCCTTTTTTCATCGCGGTGTTTTCTAATAGAAGTAGAAAACATGTTCTCCGTGTTTTTATCAAGTTATAGAAACACTCATGAAAGTTTGGGAGAACTTCAAAAAGCTGTGGTGTGGCTCATGTTCCCACAGCATTTCTCATTCTCCTAAACTTCCACTCGTGTTTCTGTACAGCGTGTAACTCGATAGAAACACGGTACGTTTTCTATTTCTTAAGTACAGTATAAGCCATAAATTATAAGCATTGGGGGGGCATGACAAAAGTAGATTTTTTGAGGTTTCAAAGACTTGCTGGAAGTCATTGCTTTCTATGAGGGTAAACATGTGAAAACTAAATGTAGAAATTTGAGTAAAAATATGAAAACTACAAAAAAGAGAAAGCTTCTTTGCGAAAAGCATTTTTGAGATTCCGCTTTTATCATAGTACAATAGAGCACACCAAGTAAGTATACTGCCCTCTTAGGTCAATTCCTCAAATCATATCTGCATAAAAAACCTGACAGAAATATGCAAGCTTTAACATTCCAAAGATTATCCATGTTGATAATGTATGACAACTATTTCAACTGTGTGTCTGATTATGATAATTCACAACATTCTGGAATGGGCTGCAAAACTGAGACCAATGACTTTGTAATTGAAGTACTTTTCATTGAGGAGATTGCAGATTGCAATATTTTTGTGGTATGTGAGTGAAAGTTAGGTTAATGTACCATTGAGGGGGACAAATTTTCTTTAGCCTATAAAAAATATCTTTGAGGAAAAAAAAAAAAGTCAAGAATATCATGTGCATTCTTGACTTTTTTTTTTTTCAGGACATCACTCATAACAGTTCATGCATACTCTATAAATAAATCCATACGTACATGAAGTGATAGCAAAGGTCCCGTGCGATTTCAAAGCGTCCCGAACTCCCGATTACAGACGAGCTACTGCGCATGTCCGAAGTCCGACCTTGTTTACATTTTTGCGATCAATCGATCTCCCTCAAATTACAATTAGTTTGCCTTCACACAACCTTTCGAATTCTAACAATCGCCTTAGATCGAAGCAATGAGGTCTCGTGTCCAAATAAGTGGTCTTTACACAAAAATTTAAAGTGATCTGAGTGAATAACGAGCGCCGAATGCGGAATTTCAAACCCGACGAATTAAAACTTTACAACCCCTAAAAATACTCTCATTGAAGAGAATGCACGCAAGAACTAAAACTTCAAATGAGTTGAGATAATCTTACACTCGACATAGTCCTCCAAATAAAGCATCTTGCATCAGTAGCTGTGTAATTTTTACTTCTTTTGTGCTCTTTTTGTTAATTTCATCATGGCGTCCATTTCACGATCGCCGACCCTTTCTATCGCGCATGCTCAGGGTAGGGACCGCTGACGGGACAGCATCCGCGTCCAAGATTTCACAACCTCAAACGATCGCGCGCTGGTGGTTAACATAAAATTTCCTAGGGATTTTAGAAATCAGTGACGATGAGTTCAATTTTCAGAGTAATATCCACGAGCTTTCAATGCGTGGCTTGCAGTAGGAGTAATTTATATCTTCCGTTTTCTCGCACACTTAGTAAGCTTACTGCATCTCGAACATTTGCAACAGACACACAGGTAAGCGCGTGTTGTCCACTTGACTCGCTATTAATATCTTTATTTTTTATTTGTTTTATTTGTTTCGCTGGATCAGCTTTGTAATCATATTTCCCGAACGTAAATCTCTAATGTGTCACCGCATACAAGCCCTTTGAAACACCTCTGGTCCTTCCCCCATAAATGCATACCATAATTGACCCCCTGTACCTCACTGTAGCTCCCCCCCCCCACATTACTGAAATAAAATAAATGAATAGATAAATAAAAAAAAAATAAATAAAACTTATAAACAGGAATACGTGGGAATTCTGCGCTCGTAAAAATAAAAATTCCATGTCAAGGGGGCATGCCCTCAAACCCTGCAAGAAGCTCACGTCTTCTGCAGTTGGTCAACTATCTCTTTGGTATGTAATCCATGGAAAATGAAAGCTACTGAAATCTCCTGCATGAACATGCAGGTACTAAGGTTAATGGGAAATGGGAAGGGGGGAGGGCTCAGCTATGTAATACAGGGTTGAGACAGCATTTCCCTTGAAGGCATATGCTTTGATGGTTATCATAGCACAGGTACATATTTGTCAATCACAAAAATCGTTTTCTTTTGTTGCCAGGAAAACCTAAAAAGGACACCACTATATGACTTTCATTTGGAACATGGAGGTAGAATGGTTCCTTTCTGTGGTTGGTCTATGCCTGTGCAATATAATGATGGTGTTTTACCCTCACATTTACACACACGCCAGCAAGCCTCTCTGTTTGATGTATCACACATGTTACAATTCAAGTTACACGGAAATGACAGGGTTAAATTCTTGGAGAGTTTAGTCGTTGCTGATATTGATGGACTTGGGGACAACACTGGAACACTCTCTTTGTTTACGACAGAAAGTGGTGGCATTATTGATGACTTGATCATTAACAACACTCCTGAACATTTATATGTTGTGTCTAATGCAGGATGTGCAGATAAAGTTTTGAAGCATCTCCAGGTACATGTATGGTGATTGACAGTGGAATATTTGTACATATAGGTGTACCCCCTTGGGACCAGAAAGTGACTGATTTTTGAAACAATGAGTGTCGTCTAGAGGGGTCCAGGGTCATGCTCCCTTAGGAAATGTTCTGGATTTTTTTCATCCCCGAAGTTTCCTTTTAGGGGTTTCTGAGTAATTCCAAAGAATCTGACTGATTTCCGTAAAGTGGTGGAGACCAGTATGGATCCGCACCTACACCCCCTAAGCCCCACCCTCCAACCATGCACAGGGGGGGGGGGGGGGTGAGGGGACCTTGGCTTATAGAAGACCGTACGAAATCTGTTCAAAAGTCCGCAACATTTATTTTATCGACTCACAATAATTTTAAATTCTCTTCATGAAGAGACTCTAAGAGTTCATACATTGAACAGGCCTTCACACTCCATTTCAAAATTGGCATTTAATTAATTTTCAGAAGATAACAAGATCACATACTCAAGATAACACAAATTGCATAGTGTAAACATTACTTCTTTCTAACAGGAAAGACTACAAGCTGTGAGTAATGATCTAGATGTTGCTCTAGAAGTTCTTGAGAACAAAGCCCTTGTTGCATTACAAGGTAAAGAATATTGACTTCTCCCAAATTTTAGCCTCAAAGTTCTTCGTCTCTGTATGTTCTTAAGTGTTCCTTTCTTACAAGGTGTACATGTAGGCATGTACATTAATTTTCATTACCATATATAATCAAAGCTTTTTTTTCTATGACAGTTGATGGTTTATAAAATATTTCATTTTATCATTAATTGATAATGCTCACAATGTGACTATTGATTTTTGTTATAATTTAGCTGTCTAGATAGAAAGTAATAATTTTAATTGTCACACATGACTAGTAAGCTGCTGGCAAAATTATCCAATGCAGAGCTTCTTTATGATCTCAGCCCTGGCAGCTATTCTGCAGGGTTTTTCTATTTCCAATTCTTAAAAAAATATTACAAAATCAACCATCTACTCCAACTAATTTAGCCACCTACTTGAAAACTCTGTAAATTACAACTCTGTATTTTATCTTTTTCTAATGTTATTGTCTTGTTATATTGGTGTAATCTAATTCAAATTGGCTTTCAAGCAGTCTTCATCTATTGACCAGTACAAGTTAGTACATCTTATGCCAGGGTGTAGCTTTGTTCCTGGAGTTTAACATGTAGTCTAGAGTCTTNTTTCAAAATTGGCATTTAATTAATTTTCAGAAGATAACAAGATCACATACTCAAGATAACACAAATTGCATAGTGTAAACATTACTTCTTTCTAACAGGAAAGACTACAAGCTGTGAGTAATGATCTAGATGTTGCTCTAGAAGTTCTTGAGAACAAAGCCCTTGTTGCATTACAAGGTAAAGAATATTGACTTCTCCCAAATTTTAGCCTCAAAGTTCTTGGTCTCCATATGTTCTTAAGTGTTCCTTTCTTACAAGGTGTACATGTAGGCATGTACATTAATTTTCATTACCACATATAATCAAAGTTTTTTTTTCTATGACAGTTGATGGTTTACAAAATATTTCATTTTATCATTAATTGATAATGCTCACAATGTGACTATTGATTTTTGTTAAAATTTAGCTGTCTAGATACAAATTAATAATTTTAATTGTCACACATGACTAGTTAGGTGCTGGCAAAATTATCCAGTGCAGAGCTTCTTTATGATCTCAGCCCTGGCAGCTATTCTGCAGGGTTTTTCTACTGCCAATTCTTAAAAAATATTACAAAATCAACCATCTACTCCAACTAATTTAGCCACCTACTTGAAAACTCTGTAAGTTACCACTCTGTATTTTATCTTTTTCTAATGTTATTGTCTTGTTATATTGGTGTAATTTAATTCAAATTGGCTTTCAAGCAGTCTTCATCTATTGACCAGTACAAGTTAGTACATCTTACGCCAGGGTGTAGCTTTGTTCCTGGAGTTTTACATGTAGTCTAGAGTCTTACCTCTGGATCCAATGCTCTTATATAGGTCCTCAAGCTGCCAAAGTTCTTCAGAGCGGTGTTCAAACTGACCTCAGTAAAATGTTCTTTATGCATGGTGGTGTAATGGATGTGTTTGGAATCAAGGATGTGCGAGTTACTAGGTGTGGCTACACTGGAGAGGATGGCTTTGAGGTCAGGACAACTCTACGCTCAGGGAAAAAAAGAAGCAGGCTACCTGTTCACAAGCTTATGTCATTCACTGACCCCAAAACTTTGAAAATATTCCATCCTGATAGAAACGTAGCGTGATAAACATATACTGCCTTTGATTTAGTTGTTGGGAATTCGGGGGCAATCAGTTGATGAAGTCACCCTGACCTCGGCATCTAGGCGTTCTCTTTTTCCGACGAGGAATTCCTTTTTCGTAGGTCGTATGATGTCGGCAGCTCGGGTATTCGTCGGTAAATGTACGTGTTTTTCATTCGTTCGTTTGTTCATGACGTACCATTGGCTTGTTCATTCATTGGGGCGATAAAATATATATTTTTTTCGTTTTATATGTTTTCTTCATGCGTGCGTTCGTGCGTGCGTCCGTGCGTGCGAGATTGCATGCGAGGGTTTGGTCATGAGTGCGTGTGTGTGCGTTTCTTTGTTTCTTCTTTCGTTCAATAATCCTTCATTTATTTACTTTTTTTTCTCCCTCTCCACCACCTGCTGATCAACTCTACAAAACAAGACTTCGCATGCCTACACTGTACAAGTAACGAACATCTGCTGTAATTTTAAAACAATCTCTCTCCTTGTACTTGTATCCAGTTGTCTGTAGATAAAAACAGAGCTGTTGATTTGGCCAAAGCCTTGTTAGAAAGTAAAGAAGCCGAGGTAAAACCAGCTGGACTGGGGCCAAGGGACAGTTTGCGACTTGAGGCAGGCCTTTGTCTCTATGGAAACGACATTGATGAAGGCATCAGCCCTGTTGAGGCAGTGCTTGTGTGGACAATAGGTGAGTAGGTTTGTTTTAAAATGATCAGTGAAGGCATAGACTGTTCACAGCCCTCTATTTTTTCTTACTTTTATTCGACCGTCGAACGCGCGGATAGAATCGCGAGAGAACTCGACGTCAGCGCAAAGCAGGAGACTTCACGGGATAGCAGGTGGAGACCGAGAAAAATAGAGATCCTATTCTTCGTTTGGCTGTCCTTTCTTTTTCTGCGGTTCTATGCCAGGGCTCCCTCGGTCTACCACTTTGGCTCTTTCCCTACGGAGACCAAGACGTGATAGAACGCTGGTAGATTTATTCTAAGCATCCATAGACACTATAGATATCTCTTAGCTGGGGTCAGTAACCTAATAACTTCGTAAATCTACTGACTATCGTGTATTCAGCTAGCCTTCTTCCCTTTACTAATCTGCACTACATAACACTACTCTGCGTTACACTGTTGTGCATTACACTGCACTGCAATGAATAAACACTATATTGCTTTGCACTATATTACACTGCACTAAATTAACCCTACAAAAAGCATATTACCTAGTTTCTTATTGAACTTTTCGTCGTTAAAGGGAAGAGGCGACGCGCCCAAGCAGATTTTCCTGGAGCTGAAATAATCCTGAGACAGATCAAAGAAAAAGCTAAAAGGAAAAGAGTGGGCCTGGTTTCTAAAGGACCTCCTGCAAGAGGTAATCAATTCTCATTAGTGATTTTCGCACATTTCTTTTTTGTGCCAGTTCTGAGAATTTAGTAGCCTATCAGGGCAATCTAATAGTTAATTTACCTTGTTAAAAATTTATGTCTTTTTAGGTGGAACAACCATTCTGGATTCCGATGGGAATAAAATAGGTACATTAATCATTATCACTTTTAACAGAAGTTCTTTTCTCTTCCGCTTCGCTCAGCCTAATAGAAAACAGTTCTATTCTAAGTAAAGGAGACAAATAATACAACAAATAGTAGAGGGAGCCGTCAGCAATCGAGTTTATTCACAAGATCACGCTTAATGCGCGTTACACGTTACAAGGCAGAGAATTTACGCGAAATGTTAGTGGTAACCTTTTTACCTATACATGGCCATTCAGGGCCCCGGGGCTTTATCCTCTCTTAATTCTGCACAAACTATTGCACCACGTACCATACGACTGCCAAAACCTTTCTTTCATGTACGACACAAGACTGTATCCGTGTTCACTCTTCCCGAATTTCTAGGTCACGTGACCAGTGGATGCCCGTCACCCAGTCTCAAGCAGAACATTGCAATGGCTTACGTGACGTCAGAGTTCGCCAAACCTGGGACATCTCTCCAGTTAGAAGTGTACAAGAAAAAGATCGAGGCTCAAGTTGTGAAGATGCCTTTTTTGCCAACAAAGTACTTCTTTGGAAAGTGAATTTCAACGTGAAAGCCAAAAGACAGTCGAAACAAGCGTGTATGATTTAGGAATACTATTTGAAATTGAATAGGGTTTGAAATAATGTGTGAAAAATATCGAAAAGATAATATAATCGATTACTTAATTTTATTTTTTACATGTAACATGGTGGAGCCCCTAATCAAAGTTTTAGTGCGCAATACAGCAGTCAGGAGCTCTTTCTCATAATCAGAACTAGATTTACTTTCTGTAGTCAATCATTTGTCGTCTTTTTAAATTAATATTTGAAAGCTGTTTA